TATAATTCAAATCGAACTTGAGCCAAAGTATGACAAAGTCACGCTCGACTTGGCTTGATTGCACCGCTAGCTGGTACGGTGGTACCCTTGCGCTATTTTTAAATAAGGAAGCTTGAAATGAAGAATCACTTCTGAGCAGAAAATAAAAGCATGGATCATAATCATGGCAGGCAGGCATTAAGCTTAATAAGACAATCCTATGTGTTTGTGCACTTGCAGGCGTGCCTACACACACACACTCCCTTCTCATCTCTAAATCGCGAACTGGTGTCCCCCCAACCCCTTCTCTCTGTTTGTTTGTTTGTTTTAATAACATTACAACCTTACCTCATCAATCATTCCTAAGGAATGACTGTTTGCCAGCCATTACTGGCCGGGCGGCTTCAAGGGCTTCCCATTCACTGATCCGACCGACTTCCACACCATTCCACTCCCAAATACATACCACAATGTCTTATTAGTCTTCCCATAGAGGACCGATATAGTGACATTGCATACCCATTCCCTATTGCATGCTGCCCCTCCTCCTTTGTGTTTGTGTTTGTGTGAGGAGGCATTATTGATTGAAAGATATGTTTCACTCCTAATCCATCACTTCCCCAAATTATAATACTTCATTAATTATTTCCATCCTAATATATTGTCTCCTTTTCCTTAGTCTTCGACCGAATAGAATCTGAGGGAAAGGGTCAAAATTGTTTGGTTTGAAGGAAAAAGATAAAATGGCTATACAAGATTTATAAAAATTTGTAAAGGTTTTTTTACCTTCTCTTTCCATATTTTTTCTTTCAAACCAAACACTGTCTGCTCCAGTTAGATGGGCTCTAAGGTATTAGGACCAGCTTCCTATATATGTGTGCATTTATAGAAACAATGGACCGGACTGGATGTAATGTACGTAATCATTTTTGGCCCAGCCAAATTTATTTGTCATCTGATGATTGGCATTGACAGTAAGTCACTAATAAATAAAAAACAACTGACCTGTAAGGAAAATCCTCGATTTCGACCAACCGATTTTATCCAACAATTTTGCTTTAATTTATTGTGGCTGGTCTCAAACCAGTTTTGATTCTTGAGCCTGGAGTCCTGACTCCTGAACTACATCAACATGGGTACAGAACCAGAACAAGATGGACATTTTTTCAGTGGAACAAACCAGCTAGACTCGCTCAGTCCGAAAATCTGTACGAACTGGGTATTGCCATTTGCCACTCCCCTCTCTTGAGTCCTGAACCTGGATGTTACCCTCTCTCATCCGCTACTCAAATGCATTTGTGCTAGAGCCTAAAGCGAGGAACGGTTAGTCATTCTTTCTAGTTTCGTTGAGGAAACAGGGAGTAAAGGAATAAATAGCTTATGAAAAGCTCGATTCGTATTCATCCCTATAGATTAATTTTAAAAATCGAATTTAACCTAATACTATATTCTACTCGTTGCATGTAAAATCTCTAAACTTGCCCCACTACAAAGTCCATTTTTTAAGAAAATAAACCTGCCCCGTTAGAGTGGGCAAGTGTGGATCCATTGCTTATAGAGTTGTGGATCCATCAGCTTGTCCGATTATACGGGCCAAAGCCTTACCTCGATCGGCATCTTCATTTTTTAATTTGCCTTATCTCCATCTTTTTTTGGTTGGAGTCTTATCTACATCCAGTTGTCAATAGAGATTGAGCTAAAAATAAGGGATTGATCACTATGGCTTGGCTAAGAGAAGTTCATGACTTAGAATGAATACGTCATGCAAAAAACAAGGTTGCAGACTTGCAATCTTTCATTCTAACGGTGTAAACGTTTTAGGCTGCTAGGTAAGTCACGTTCAAGAACAGGGCATGGATTAAGTTACGGTTGGGTGATTTTAGACTTCTCAACCTTTACATAAATTTCTTCAGGTTTGAACAAGGAATAAATGAGAATTAGGGATGAATTCGAGTTAAGCATGATGTTGTCTGATTCAAGGTGTTCTGAATCAAGATTGGAGTTAGATAGTCCTGTCAACTGGTGAGGCCAAGGTGAAAAGATGAAGTCGTATAGAAAGATCTGAAATTAAGAAAGAGAAAAGAGGCCCGAGGAGTTGTTCCCCGGGTAGGCACTCCAACGTTCAAGTCAGTAATGAAAGAGATGGGTGGTCGGGCTGAGCAGTTGAGAAGAATGTCGGTCCGAGTAGAAGCAGAACAACAGTATAGAGTCTGAAGAGTCAAAAGTCCTTGACCTTGAGCGGAGGTTACCTATTTATAACCAAAAATTCGTGTCCGATTCAGATGAGGCTTCTGGGGTTGTCGGGATGAGGTTGTCCACCAAGCTCTTCGGGATAAATCCTAATCCCTGGCAGAACTGTCCTCCTTATTCGTGCGGGGCTCCTCTTCTTGGTCGTGCTTATCCGTCCTACATGGTGCCAACATGGCCGAATAGGGAGGCACCATGTGGCACCTAAGGCCAGCTCAACCAAAACCCAAACACCACTTCCCCAGTTCCTAAGTCAGGGACTATAGTACTCAACCCGCGGTGTGGAGTGGAAGAGCTTTGCGGTCTTCGGCTAAGGAACTCTTTGGGGAAGCGTGCCTTTCCGAGTTAAGTGACTTGGGGTAGCCAATTTATCGGGCGAACTGGCCGGTTCAATGCTCATACTGTTTATGAGACAGGTCAGTAGGAGCATTGTTTCGTTTCCCCGAGGCTACACGCGCGCAAAGGGCATGGCGTCGTTTTGTCTTCCCGAGCTATCAGAGGGCGAAATTGAATCATTGTTGTTGATTTACTTCGATCTAGGTTGATGGGAGTCCTATAAAAGGGGAGTGAATTTCTACTTTGTCATTTGCGAAGAGTGTTCTCTGGAACTCGATGAGACGTAGTCCTTGGCTCAAATGGTGTTTCGATTTTCCGTAGTCTCTACCTTCACTTCGATAAGATGTCTTCTTCTTTGTCCTTTGACTCCTCTTGTTCGTCTTCCTCTTCTTTCAGTTCAGGTTGTGAGTCCGAGCCAAGGTTTCCCGTCGAGGCCACTGTGCTTACAGTTCATGAGGTCGATGGCTAGGGGGCCGAGGTCAATGAACTTGGGGTTGAGGCCGTAGAGCTGGAGGAGGCCATGGCCTGGGGGGCCGAGGTCGAAGTAATGTCTAAGGAGGGGACCGACCTCCCTCCGTGGTTCGGCAGCCGGTTTAGGTCTACTCCGTTCCGCTTGAATCCTAGGGATTTGGCCCGAATCAGGGCCTTGTACTGTATACCCGAGGAATAAGAGTTGAGATGTCCGGGTGCTGGTGAGAGAGAAATTTCGGCTTGGCTAGACAACCTTATGTTTATGAGTACAGCCTGATGGTCGGGCTAAGGTTTCCTTTGAGTGAGGGAATCACCATGGTGCTGAGGTGGTTCTGCGTCCAGCCTATCCAATTAATGTCAAACTCTTTTCGGTACTTAATGAGTCTTTTATGCTACTGTTCGGTCCACGGTAAGGAGGTCATGTTGCCAATGTTTGTCTATTTTCTGCAACTGAAGAAGCACCAGCAAGGGTACTACTACTTCTCGGCTCGGCAATATAATAAGGTGCTTGTCGGGGCTCTGTCTTTGGTGAAGCGCTGGAAAAAGAGATTCTTTTTCATGCGTTGCCCTAGAGGCTGGCCGTTCCCCGTTGAGCTTCAAAAGCCGAGGATCAAGGTGAAGGCACCAATCGTGGTTGAACTAATCGAGGAAGAGAGGTGTCTATTAGGCAGATAGGAAGGATAAATATGATGGAGTGCATGTCATTCTCAATGTTGATTCGTGTGGGGTTGATGAATCAGACAGTCGGTCTGTGTGTTATACTATCATTGAGTTTTGGGTTGGTCAATACAAATTTGTGTAAGAGATTTTTCCATTTGAAATGTTTTGAAAACAGTTTTGGGTTAATTAATTGACAAGTTCTACCTAAATTGATGATTCTCACACATGCATTTTTTTAATTGAAATATATATATGTATATATAATGTGGCAACATATATTTTTCACAGATTTGTATTATCAATCTAATCCAAAAGGCAATGCAATGTCATTGTACCATGTATGCAAATATGTTTTGTATTGTAACTTAGCAAGCGGGAGGAAGGTTAGTGAAACAAAATTAAAAGATGTACGTACCTCGCCAATTATCAGGCATCTTCAGTGGGTATTATAAATATATAATTGGCAAGGTGCCAACCAGAGGTTGGTAAGGTCTCCTTCCGGTCAGGATGGGCTATCACGGTTGTGTAGTTAGGATTGTTAATTGAACTGGATTTGGTCCAATTTGATCTAATCCGTTACAAATGGATCAGGTCCAATCCAATCCAATGAATATTTTAGACCAGTTTGAACCAGTCTAATTCAATGTTTGGGCCATCTAATATGTTCAAATTTATTTTAAATTAGATTAATTCTAATTCAAACCTGATTCATTGGCACTTATATTCTTATATTATATCAATGGATCAGATATGGATCAATCCAATATAAACTCATTATAAATGGACCAAATTCAATACAATCCGATAAATACTTTAGACCTTTAAATCTGGATTGGTTCAATTCAATATGTCTTATTAGACCAATCTGTTAAAATTAATTTTGGTTTTAACTGATCAATCCAAAACCGGTCCATTCACACCCCAATGTATGTATAACCCTTTAAAAGAAGTCAAAAAGAAAAATAAATATATAATTGTAATTTTCAATCCTAACCATGTTAATTACAACGCTCCACCAACCTTTTCCGGGAAAGAGAAAACTGGAATGGCAGGGCAATAAATACTACAGCATGGAAATGGTAAGGATGAGTTAACGAAGAAAGATAAAAGAATCAAAGAGAAGCTCTCACCTCACCGAGAAAAACAGAACTTCCGATATTCCTGAAAGGAAAGACGTACATTTCACATGTATTGTCACTAGTATTGTACCTGTACTGCTACTTCCCGTAGTACACCATTCTTAATTTGTGATGTGATATGGCTTTGGACGTATTACACATTTACACCCCCACACGTTCCAAGAGGACGACACCACCCGAACAAACAAACACTTTCTTCTTCCTTAAATCCTTCTCTCACGCTCACATCTCCGTCCTCCTCCTCCATACCCAACACCAAGATAAAGGGGTTAGGCCCCTCTCCAGTTCAGAATGGCCGGAACGATGATGGGTCCCGGCATGGAGGGCATGTCGTCGTCCAACGGCGGCACCACCATGAACAACACCATGTACATGCATCACAAGATGATGATGCACATGACTTTCTTCTGGGGCAACAACGCCGAAATTCTCTTCTCTGGCTGGCCTGGCACCCGCACCGGCATGTACGTCTTGGCCTTGCTTCTCGTCTTCGTGCTCTCAGTGCTCGTCGAGTGGATCTCTAATTCCCGATTCATCAAACCCAGAAACAACCCCGTTGTTGCAGGGCTGCTTCAGACGCTTTTGCATGCAATTCGGATGGGACTTGCTTATATGGTAATGCTTGCTGTTATGTCCTTCAACGCCGGTGTCTTCCTCGTCGTTGTTGCCGGCCACGCTGTTGGGTTCTTGTTTTTCGGCAGCTCGGTTTTTAAGCAATCCGAGATACCTTCATATGAGAAACCCTCTGATCTTCCTCCCATGAGGTGTTAGATCTATTCCCTTTTCTCTCTCTCTCTAGGAGATTATTTCGTTGGGGATTTGTTTAGGATATTACTGATTATTTATATTAGAGTGAAAACGTGAGGATATATAGTCTTAGTTTAGGGTTTTAAAATTGCATTTCTTCGGTTATCAGTTCGATTCAAGTCCAATTTCTCAATGAAATATTCTCTTTTCTTACATTTCTCTTAGACCCAATATGGATTTGAAACTTCCTTGAAGATCCATTTCATGATTGATTTTAACCTATCTATTCCAACAACACAGTTGTTACAAATTGAAGTGAAAATTTGAAGCGAAACGATAAATTATTGTTATTTTCAAAAAATATTAAAAAAAAAACAGAAGGGATTAGGGAATGCTTCAAGCCTTCAACTACATCTAGTTTCTGAATCTCAGAAAGATCAACTTTGCTCTGTTTTTTATAGAACGAAGTAAATATTGGTAAAAACATCAGTTTTGCTCCAACCTAATCCACATTCACCCACCGCTAATAGTTTCGAGGATAAAACCATGAGCTCGATTAACGTGTGGCTATTTCAGCGGCATCTCCTGTAATATATTTGTCATGAAAGCTGAATTTGTTACGCCATATAAACCGCATCCTGCCCGTGAATCCGACATCAATCCACGGGCAGGATTCCAGTCCACCCCTAGAAATCCTAGCTCGGGTGGATTGAACGGTAAATTTTTAAAACGCGATAATTCACTTATTCGAAATTTTAAAATGGGACAATTTAGTAACTGCACTTACCCATCCGGTAGGTGACATGTGAAAAATCACAAATGCCCGTTCATCAATGGCATTTCTCATTATTTCATCAAATCCCAGTTTTAAATGTTTTATTAATTCAACCAAACAAGATAAATTAATGAGCACTGAGGTTGGGGACTTTGGGACCGGGGACCTCGACAAATCGTATCAAATCAAAGCCAATTTCAGAGCAGAGCTACGGAATCAGTGAGCAAGGAAAAGTGAATTGAATGAGAAGAGTCCTAAACCCAGACTTCTGAGATCAAAAATTTCCCTTAGGTGTCATCGGGGATTGATGACGAGAAAAGGAGCGAAGAAGAAGAGGAGGTGAGTAGTCAAGAGATTGGGTTTGTGCTTCTCGATGAAAGATCTGCTCTTCGAGGTGTTGAAGCACTTGGACACGCGGTCTCTTAACGTCTTCCATTAACAAACAGTGGCACAGGACGGCCCATTATGGTCGGTTGTGGGAGTTGGTCCCGACACTGGACGAACATCGGTCACTGCAATCACTGCAATCAATAGCTCTGTTCCGCGGTTGCTCTTGGAGGTTTTTGTCGCCTTCATTTTCACTGCCTCTAGCCCCTCTTAAACCACCTCCATCACTGCCACCATCTAGTGGGCCGTGTCATCGTCATTGTCTACTTCCTTTCTCTCGTCTCCGTTTCTAGTTCTGGTAATTCCACGAAAAATACCAGTTCATTGGGGAAAAGACGAGGTTCAACTCCCTCTCTCTCCTCTCGATTCGCTATTTCGAGAAGATGAAAGTTAAAACAGTGGTAGACGAAAACACTTTCTGCTATGCTCTTCACCATAATTTTCCTTTTTTTTTTTTTTCTTTTCGTCCTTGTGTTCTTGGATTTCATATTGATTATATATCTCTGTAATGCGAGAGTCTATAATAGTAATACTCATATTATTATTGATAAATTTTCTTGGGATTTTTTTCCTTTTTATTATTAACTTCCAAAGATCTAAGAAACGATAGTGTTTGTGAAATGAAAATTACTTTTTGGGGTGTTTATGTGTAGATGAAAATAAATAGTGTTTTATTTATAAGGCTAATTTTGACATTTTTAAAAGTTTTAAATGGCACATGAGGTCATGTGATATGCATAATGGTCCATTAACGGTAGCTATGTTGCGTTTCAAAAGTTTGGGTACTAGATTGTCGCGTTTTAAAGTTTAGGGGCCAAATTTTCATCCAACCAAAATAGAGGGTACTGATCGGGAATTTTCCTAATACGAAATACAAGGTTTTCCACTCAACATATAGGGCCGGCAATCTTGACCCCAACTCATTTACTTGAAACCCACCCATACTCATCCATTCTATTAGCGAGTTAATATGGGTTAAATAACCCATAAGGGTCAATGGAAAAGGGTCTGGATGGATTGGGTCAAAGTTAAGCTCTATCTATACTTGTCAAATCCAAACCACCATGCCACATTTCATTTTGTAATTAAAAGTAGAATTAAATAAATTTTATTAACTTTCATGTTCACATGCAATTTTACACAAAAGCAATTTTACAAAAGTAATTTTATCAAATAATATTATGAAAAGTACTATTACGAAAGCAGTTTTACAAAAACATTTTTACACAAAAGCACTATTATAAAAGTACTTTTTACGAAAGCACTTTATGAAAGTACTTTTATGAAAACATAAAAGCAATTTTATAAAAGTACTTTTATGAAAGCATAAAAACACTTTTACACCAAAGTACTTTTATTAAAGCATAAAAGCATTTTTATAAAAGTAATTTTACAAAAATACTTTTATGAAAGCACTTTTACCAAAGTACTTTTATAGAAGTATTTTTTTAAAAGTACTTTTATAAAAACACTTCTATTTTTTTGCATTTTCTACACTTGAAATTTTCTAGTATTTTTTTCATTTTTTTGCAAATTTATGGTATTTGTTTTACATTTTTTGAAAATTTCTGGTATTTTTCTACATTTTCTACAATTTTTGGTGCTTTTTTGCATAATTTCTGCATTTTTCTAATGCTTTCATGCATTTCCTGCAATTTTCTAATAATTGTTTGCATTTTTATGATTTTTCTACAAAATTTCTGTATTTTTTTTTGTAATTTTCTACATTTTTCGTAATTTTCTGGTATTTTTTATATTTTCCTGAATTTTCTGTAATTTTTTGGTATTTTTTGCATTTTCTACATTTTTTTTTTGCTATTGTTTGTATTTATCTACAATTTTTGCATTTTTTGTTATACAGGTTGACCTGATCCATTTTTGTTACGTGGCAGTCTTGAGAGAGATAATTCTCTCAATTTTTTTTTTCAGATATACGGGTTAACCCAACTCGTTTCTGTCACGTAGCAATCTTAAGAGAGATTATTTTCTCAAAAATGTTTTTTTTTTTCTAGGTATACAGGTCGACCCAGACCAATTCTTTCATGTGGCATCCTTGAGAGAGATTATTCTCTCAAAAATTGTTATTTTTCGGGTATACGGGTCGCCCCGACCAATTTCTACCATGTGGTAGTTTTGAGAGATGTTCCTCTCAAAAATTTATTATTTTTGGGTATACAGGTCGATCTGACCCATTTCTACCACATGACAATCTTGAGAGAGAGATGCTCCTCTTAAAAATTATTATTTCAGGTATACGGGCCGTCCCGATTCATTGTTGTATTTATAGGTGAGGATAGATGAATTAGTATGGGTGAGGGTGATTAAGGGTCAATATGAATGAGTCAAATGGGTCAATATGGGTGGGTCAGGATTGATCTAGATTAGGGTGGGTTATGACCCTTTAACAAGAATTGACAATGAGCATAATGGATTAGTGGGTTAATAGGTTGGTATTCAACCCTTATCCAACTCAATCCAACCCACCCATTTGCCACCCCTACCTACAGAGTTGTAATCCTTAGCTGAGCCTTAACACATCAAAGGTTTGTTCCACTTGTCTTATGTAAGCTTTTTTCAAAAATCACAATTCAATTCCACCTATTGCAGATAAATGCCACAAACCTTTGGGTTTGCTACCATGTCAGCACCCTCTCATGCGTGAATCCGACGTGTGCGATTGGGATTAAAACATGTTTCAAATGTCCTCTATTCCTCCTTTCCTATTTTTAATATATTAAAATTTATACTAAATTTTAAAACAAATAAAAAACAGGGATTAACGGTTTTTTCTTCCTCTTTTGTCAAATAAAAAAAGGGTTTGCTCTCGACGAACAGAATCCATTATGTTTGTCATCCACGGCGAGTCGACTAAACTAGTAGCACTTGGGGAGTGGCTGACCATACAGACAATGGTAATGGAAGAAAGAGTCGGCACTGAACTCCTACACCTTCACGCCAAATAGAATCTCTCTGTATGGCCGATTATAGCTCACGTTTAGCTAATACAAATTCAATCCCATGAGGCCATGACCTCCTTAGGGATATACTCCCTCTGGTCTTGTTATGTGATAAGTCCAAATATTCTAGGCTCTTGGGAAGCTTCACCCTAATCGCAACAATGTTCTGTTTGTTTTGAACAACGCCGACACATTTCTTATAAATTTGTTGAAATGGCTTAACGATTTGGGAATCTTACCAAAAAGCTAATTCTGTGAAAGGCCAAAATGAAGGAAGCGATTTTGTGATATCCAAAGTGAGTCGGGAATGTTTTTTGTCAATTTATTACTTTCTAGGCCCAGAAGCTCTAGTTTGGGCAGATTTGCTATAGAAGCTAGAATTGGACCTGAGAAATTGTTGTATGATGGATTAAGGAACCAGTGGTTCTGCAGTTGGTCAAGGAATTCCAGAAGTCAGAAATCTTATTCGTAGTTTTTTTTGCTTACTAATATTTAGCTCTTCGGAGAGCAAACCCTTTTTTATTTGACAAAGAGGAAGAAGAAACCCTTAACCCTTGTTTTAAAATTTAGTATAAATTTTAATATATTAAAAACAGAATGGGAGGAGTGGAAGACGTTTGAAACGTCTGTTAATCCCTCTGGCACATGTAAAATTCAAACATGAGAGAATGCTAACATGGCACCCTCTGATTTGAAGTACAGAAATGAATGTATATGAGATCCAAACTTCGAATATCTCCTGTTCTTGTAATCTTATCATTCATGAATGAAACAGATATTCCCAATGTACGACTATGCAGCATGCTTTACGGTGAGTGAGACGCAATGTGTACAAACTCAAACCCCCACATTCAAACAATGAACCAAATAAACTACTTGGAAGGATGTCCTCGATGATAATCGCAATGATAAATCAACATATTAATATTTCAATAAAAACAATTAAGGCGTGAGATGTGAAAAAGGATAGGAACATAGAATTCGAAATCTCCACACTGATATAAAATTTTAGGATAAATTATAAAGACCCCCTGTAAGGTCTGTGACAAAGACCCCTGTATTTTATTTTGCAATAAAGACCCCTCTATACTATGAC